GGGACTCCGGGCATCTCTGGGACACCCCGAGAGACGCAGTGTCCGGGAGGGGCTCTGAAGGGAGCGGGGGTCCTGCAGGCCGGGTAGAGGATCGGGCAGGGCGCCCGGGAGAGGGCGCATGCTGCGCGCAGACCTGGGCGGTCCCCGGAGGTCGGACCGGGCATCCCTGCTGGCCTGGGCAGCGGGAGGGAGGCGCGGGGCGGGCTCCGAGGAGCCGCGGGATCCGTGCGGCCGCGGGGAGCTGGACCCGGCGGGCGCCGCTCAGGGGCCACGGGGAGGCTCCAAAAAGGATCGATGGAGAGCCCCTAGGCAGGGGCAGCGCACTGGGGCCACTTGGGTTCGCGAGTGTGGGGGCGCTGGCCGGGGTGGGGAGGTGGGGGCCTTTCCTCCCCTCCTTCTATCGCGTCCTAGATGCGCTGGCTTCCCCCGCCCCTCAGACCCCTTCTTGGAGCCCCTGCTTGGCTCCTGCCGGCCGCAGCTGTCGGCCTCCCGGGCCGGGCCGAAGGGGTCTGAGCAGTGGGAAGGAATGTAGGAAATGCGACGTGTGGCCGAGCCTGGCGACTGACCCGGGGCTGGGGCAGGCATGCCGGGCGGGCGCCTGGCGCTTAGCTGCTGGTCAGGGTGCGCTGCCTCACGGTGCCCGGATTCCTGACTTGGGATTGTGGGTCCCTCCCCCACCCCCTGCAAGATGTGCCTGACAGATCGCCCTATTTGTCTGTCCTGACCAGGGCTGGGCGCCAAAATTCCTCAGTGTCAACAAAAAGCCACAACCCATTTTTAATGTGCGATGTATTGATGGGACTGAGTACAGCTCACACGTTCATGGTGTCCATCCGTCCCTACGTGTGCATGTAAACCCATTTCAAAGAGTACAACCCCTTTCTGAATTACAGTGTCAAAGTTGTACGGGCAGATTTCTTCTCCTTTTGCTCAGAGAGGAAATCTTTGAAGATCCTCTTGGTCTCCCACTGCCAAAGGCTGGTTCCCCCGTCGTGTTCTGCAAGTAGAAGAGATATCGAGGGCCTGCCTGAGCGTTCTATAAATGGAATCTTCCAAAGAATAAAGCTTTTTACCCCAGGGACTTCATCCTCCTCTTAATTCCTGAAACCTCTGGCCCCACCCACGGAAGCCTGGAGAGTGTGCAATAGGGTCATCCTTACCCAGGAGGGAGGGAGAGAGAGTCATCCACTCTGCCTCCCAGGGTCCATCTGGGTTTGGGGCTTATTCTCTGACTTTGGGAATTGGACTCTTGTGAAAAGGGAAGTTTTCTGTTGACCTTGGGCATTGCTGCCCTGACTGGCTACCTGGTCATGTGAGGCTTCTTCCTCCTTAAAACAGGGTGCATATATTCTTTTTTATTTTTATTTTTTTGGGTACTGGAAATTGAACCCAGGGTTCTTTACCACTGAATTACATCCCCAGATCTTTTTATTTTTTATTTTGAGACAGGGTCTTGCTAAGTTGCTGAGGTTGGTTCCCAAACAGGTCATCCTCCTGCCTCAGCCTCCTGAGTTTCTGGGATTATAGGCACGTGCCACCATGACTGGCTTTTCTTTCTTTTTTTTGAAAGGGGAAAAGAAACAGATGTTATTTTATAACAGCCCATTCTTTCTAAAGTCTTAGATAAGTCAAAATTGGAGCAATAGAGAAATGATACATAAGAGTTTGACTCATTATAGTGATAGAAATTAGGTTTGTGAAATTTCCAGCCATGACTGGCATGTCCCCTAGCTATCCAGGGACAGCCCAACAAGGAGAGTGTAGGTCAGTGTTTCCTGGTATTTTATATTCTGTGGTACACTTGTAATTGGCCAGATTGGCTGTGCGTGCACATGCATGTGTCTGAGTGTGTGTAGGAGGTATAGACTGTAGCAAAAAGAGTTTTCTGTTGTCAGCTCTTTAGGGGAATAGGAGAGTAATGCAAAAATCAAAACAAAACAAAAACAAACCACACACAACAGTTTTAAAACCTAGCATTAGTCAGTTTGCAAAATTTATTTATTTTTAATGGCTACCTATCAAATATATTAGAAGATACCAAAGTGAATTAGAAAAAAAAATTAATGAGCTAAGAGACCAAGAGAATCATTCAAGGTATAATAATAATTGTAACTAATTATTAGTTTGGGCACCATTCCAAATATAGTACTTTATGATATTACTTTCTTTAATCTGGGCAAGAACTGGTGAGGTAGGTATCAGCCACATTTTGCTCTGCGGAAATGGAAGCAAAGAGTGGTTAAGTGACTTGCCAGAGGTCACACAGCTGGAAGTAGTCCCAACCTCGAAGGGCTGCCTCTAAGCATGGGGCACATCATTGGCCTTGGCTAGAAGACATTGGGCATGTGTGATGTGGATGGGCTGTGACACCTCAGGCAAGTTGTCTAAACTTCCTAAGCCTCAGTATCCTTGTTGTAATTAATAATAATAATAATAATAATAATAATAATAATAATAATATTTACCTTATGGGCTTATGGTGGGGATTACATTAAATAACATGCAGAGGAGTTTGCAAAGTGGAGCATAATTCAGTGATTATTATAATCTGCCTGGGGAGATGAGGCACAAGAGAGGAAGCTGAGCTCACTGTGCCGGTTGTGATGGTCACTTCTGGGGAGGGACAGGTAGCTGGGCAGTAACTCCAGCACAGGGATGAAGAGCAGCCTGTGGCGGGAGAGGATGGTGCCCTCTGATATGTGACAGAGCGTGTCAGCAATGGGGAAGGCAGAAGAAGCAGCCGCAGGCAATGAGATCTGAGTGGTCGCAGAGGAGGTTCGTGGGCTGGGACCGATGTCGAGGTGGAGAGAGGACCCGGCCTCAGGACCCTGTACCATCATTGTGTCTCTGTGTGGCCTGCGGTAAACTCTGCCTCCCCTTGCAGGTCCCTGCATCCCAGGGCTTGAGGCTTTTGGAAAGTGGGTACTGGGCTGGGGGGGATGTCTGGTTAGCACCTGCAGGGCAGCCCTGGGCCCCGAGGCCTCAGGAACTCGTGGGTGTTTTTTCCTAATGGCCCCAAGTTCCCGCCTGGTCAGCCTCTCAGCGTTGTCCTCCGACTTCATATGGCCACTGTCCCTGCCAGCGTGGGGACCACTGGCCCTCCTGGTGACTTAGCGATTGCTGCAGCCCTATCTCTGGCCAGCTGTCCCCTCCGCACATCACAGTCTGGGGAGCACATTTCAGTTTAGAAAGCAAATTTTTAGCCATCACGGGGTGGTGGTGGTGGTGGCTGCATAATGGTTGGGTATGGTCATTGTCATTTTATAGAGGAGGATGTTGTGACTCAGGGCTTGGTGCCTTGCTCAGGTCATCCTATTGGTGGGTAAAAGGGTGGATCCAAGGCCAGGATTCGCGGGAGGCTCGAGTCACTGCCCTGTCCGCCACAGTGCCCTCCCGTGTGCTAGGAGGGCTCCTCTCTCAGCCAAACACCTGCCTGTGTGGACTGAGCCAGAAAGTGGTTGGCACATTCTTTCAGTGTTCATTTGGGAAGCACAGACCATAGTGGGGACCCAGAGACAGATAAGGCATAGAGACTCTCAGGGCAGCTGAGAGTCCATAGGGAGGTGGGCTGGCCATGGTGGGCACCTGTGTGGTCAGAGGACCCAAGGCCCTGAGGACTGAGTTTTGCTGCAGGGTGTTGGAACCAAGGCAGGACCCCAGGTCCACCCTGACCCTCATGGGCTCAGCCTGCCTGTTAGCCAGACCCTGCAGCCTGCTGCTGCACACAGGTGAGTGCTTGGCAGGAGGAAAGGCCAGGGCTGCAGGGACATAGGACCCGGTGAGAGTCGCAGCCTCTTTGGGTAGAGCTTACCACAGAGTGAAGGGTCTTGATGCATCTGTACCAGGAAACTAGGAGACCTGGAATCTAGAGAAGAGAGAGAAGCAAGTGTTTTGTGAAGTCCTGCTGGGTACGAGGAACATGATCCCTTATTCCATTTAGTAGCTCAGGTTCATATTCTCTGTGTCATTGTTATTTATCTTTAGTTCAGGTACAGAGAAGCTAAATGACTTGTCCAAGATCACACAGCAAGTGAACAGAGAAGCCAGTTGGGCACGATGGCATATATCTGTAGTCCTAGCTACTTGGGAGGCTAAGGCAGGAAGATTGCTCTAGCCCAGGACTTTGAGGCCAGCATGGGCAACATAATGAGACCCATTAAAAAAAGAAAAGAAAGAAAAAGAAATCACCTGATCAGTGGCAAAGTCTTCTTCTTCCTGTGCCAGTGGGGGTGTTTCTGCCAACCTGATCATGATCTGCAGTGGATGCCCAGCTTTAGATTCACCAGCTGTGAAGGTTTAGGCTTAGGTCTAGAGGAATCCATGGCACACCTTAGAAACATCTTGAAAGTTCTTCAAAACAAATACTATATTTCTGGTCCTGCCCTGCAGGGACTCTGTCACATAGGTCTGGGGCAATCGTTGGCCATTCTGAAAGTCAATGTAGTTCTCATATAGAGCTAGAAAAGGTGACCGGTGGCCCTGGAACCCTGGGGGCCCTGGGTGAGAAACCAAGATGGCCCCAGGCCTGCTTTAAAACCGTGACCTTAGGTCTGCTCTCTTCAGCACAAACACCCAGCGCCAAGCTCCCTGTGCCTCCCTGACCAGGTGTTTGGCACGCTCCGGCTCTCTGAGGCCTGGGCAGGCCCCTCCTTGCTGGGAGAGCTAAGCCTGAGTCCCGTTGCTGTTTGCTTTACCATCAGAGGTGGCTTCTTGTATTTAAGGCGCTGTTCTTCTCTGTCCCCTCCTGGTTCCATTGGTTGGGATTGAAGGAGGCTGTGAGCTTTCTTCGGGCCCCTGGCTTTGTCCACTCCTGGTTTCTAGTCACTGGTGGGAAGGACCGTGCCAGCAGTTCCTGCCCAGGTGCGAGTGGTCCAGGCCTCCTCGGGGGCTGAATTTTCCAATCTTTGCAGCAGATTGATGAGTTGCCTGTGTTCAGTCGTACCTGAAAGGCTGGGGCCAGACAGTTTGAAAGTTTGGACTCTGTGGTTTGTGTTTTGGATTTTGGAATTCTTGCTGTGCACAGTGAGCGGTCTTGGGGACAGGACCCCCATCTAAACACAAGTCCGTTATTCCATCTAACCTTGAACGCAGAGCGGGTGGGTGACTTTATGCCGCATTGTTGGTGCTGCTGTGTTGGACTGTCACCTGTGACACAAGGTCAGATTCTGGTGGTGCTCCTGTCGAAGTTCAGAAAGTTTTGGATCTTGAATTTTTGGCCTAGGGGTGTTCATCCTGTGCTTTCTTCCTCCTCTGTCCCCCTGCTGCTGGGGACCCCTGACAGGCTGTCCCCATCAGCTTCCCTTGGGCCTCCTCCACTCCTCTGTCCTCGCCTCTGACGGTGTCTGTTCTCACCTCTACGATGGTGCCAGCTCCCCACCTCTCCCTCCGGACTCCCTCACTCCAAACCGCTTCCCCAGATGTCTGCACCTGGCCCACCCGCCCTGCCCTTCTTCTCTCTGGTGTCAGTTCCCCTTCCCTCCGGTTGACTGGGACTTGGTCTGTCCCCTGCTCCTTTGCTCCCTGTCCTTCTCCAGGGACAGCTCCTGCAGCCTGGTCGCAGCCAGACCCTGTATTCAAGAGACTTGGGGCCTTAGCCACAGTGTGGTGCCCACGTGTGGCTCCCCTTGCACGGGCAGCTCTGGGTCTCCGTGTGCAGGGGGCCGCTGGTGGGAGGCAGGCCCCCCTTTCTGTCTGCCAGATGGAGAAGCTGGGGGTGGGGCGCACACCTGTGCTCCTGGCCCTCAGGAAGCTAAGGCAGGAGGATCGATAGAGCCCAGGGATTCAGGGTCCACCTGGCAACATAGTGAGACCTCATCTTGAAACAAAGAAGGGAAAAACCAAAACCAAACAAAACCCAAACCAAGGCGGGGTCACGAGCTGTCACAGGACTTCCGCTTTTCCTTTGCACGGTTTGAGATTCTCCCTGTCTCCTTTGGTGTCGCCAATGATGGCACTACCAAGTGACCGCCCTGTGCCCCGGAAGCCCGTGAGCTAGGCTGGGGCCATGCAGGAGACTGTCTGCCTCTGGCGTCTAGAAGAAGAAAAAGTGCCACTCCGCTAAGTGGGGCACCTCCTGAGTATCCCGAAACGTGGGTTTGCTGCCAGGGCTTCCGTCTGATGACGGCCCTGTCTGAGCTAGAAGGTCCTGCCAGGGAGGGAGATGGACTGGCCTCTTGTCCTGGGCCCCTGGATGTGGCTGATGATAGCAGGCGGTGGGGGTCCTCAGGCCAAGCATCCCTAAATCTGGTCTGAAGTGCTCCAAAATCCCAGACTTTTTAGGTACCAATAGGATGCTACGAGTGGAAAGTTCCACAGCATGAGACCTTTTTCATGCCCCAAATGATCAAAATTATGGTGCGAAGCTGCCTTCAGGCCACGTGTAGAGGCCTGCATGAAACATGACTGAATTTCGTGTTCAGCCAGAGTCCCATCCCCCACATAATTCATATGTACATGCAGCTCTTCCAAGTTACCTGCCTCCAGATTCACAAAAACTAAGCCACCTCCGCCCCCAGATTCAAAATCAGAGTCTGTCCTGGTCCTGAGCACTTAGGATCGGAGCTCCCAAGGCTGGGGTCCTAGTGCACCCCGGAGAGCGAGGCCGTCTGAGTGTGCTGCCGGGTTTCTGGTTGCAAAATGAGAGGTTGGGCAAGATTCCGAAGGTCTTTCCAGCTCTCACATGTTTTAGCTCATAAACTCCCCTGAGCTGGCTTCCACACTGTGACACGGACATGTGTCTCCCCTGAGCTCCCATCGCTCCCTCAAGAGGAGCATCCAGCATGGGGAATGGATGACAGGGCTGTGGGACTCTCAGAAGCACCTTGGGAGGGGACGGGGACTGTGAGTGTGGCCCTGGAGAGCAGATGCTCTGTCCGGGTTGGGCAGGGGGCCTTCCTCGCCTGGCCTGCTTGTCAGGTGCTGCCGGGACCAAGTGGGCGCCCCTTACTGCAGCCCCAGGACCTGGTGTGGAGCGGCCTGGGCGTGGCGGGGCGCAGCCGTGTGCATGCAGCGAGCCAGTGGCCAGCCTGCTCCTGCATCAAGGAGCCTGGTGGCCTGGAGAGGGGCCCACTCCACCTCCCACAGGGTGGAGGCTGCTTCCTGTTTTCCTGCCTGGGCAGGCAGGGAGGAGCCCGTTCCCGGCCCTGGGCAGCCCTGTCTGACGTTGGTGAGGGCAGAGGGACCGGCTCTGAAGGTGGCCGTGGCTCAGACTGCAAACCAGAGAAGGGCGTATTTCTTGGATTAGAAAGATTGCTACCGCAGCCTCTGTGGAGGCCTCCAGGAGACAGCCTGTCTGCACGGGCAGCAGCCAGTTTTGCTTCTGACTTAACAACCGCTACTCCTGTTTGTGGTCCGAGAGCATGTTTACACATAAGCTCTTTGAAGCCACAGACAACTGGGCAATCCACAATTGTGTCGGCTTTCAGATATGGACACTGAGGCTCAGAGAGGTTAAGTGACTTGCCTAAGTGCACTCAGGAAGGGGCAGAACTGAGGTTTAAACCTGTGGTGTCTGATCCCAGATGTTCTGCTTTTCCCTTTAAAGCGGAAGCCTGATCTGTGGCTGGTAACTCAGAAATGGTTTTGTTTCTAAGTCTTTTTCAATGGACTAACTTGGACATTTAAGATCCCTCCCAGAGGAAAATTTTTGTAACACATAAGCCCATCAAAGGATCTGTATTCACTTGGGCACAGGGGTACATGCCTGTAGTCCCAGCTACTCAGCAGGCTGATGCAGGACGATTTCTTGAGCCTAGAAGTTGATGATTAGCCTGGGCAATGTAGTGAGATCGTCTCAAAAAAGAAAAAAAAAAGGGCTATATAAAAACATAACACAACCTAATGAGGAAATAAATGATTTTTGCAGGAGATACTTCATGAAAGAGGACAGATGGCCAGGAGCATGCAAAAAGGTGTGCAGCTTCCTTAGTAATCAGGAAAGTGTGTATTGAGGTCATGGCGACATGCCCATCAGGATGGCTGAAACAAAAGTGGAGAAAAGCCCAAAAACCAATAAAACTATGAAAACCAGAGAGTATCAAGCATTTGCAAGGATGCAGAGCATGAGATTCCTCACGTCCTTGCTGATGGGGCCGGAAACAGGTGCCCGTGCCGAGGAGTAGAGCTAACATTGTCCTCAAATTGAAGAGACACACTCGATTCAGCAGGGACACTGCTACATACATACCTAATGGAAGTGTTGTCCATGCACCAGAAGATACTTAGAAGAATATTTGTAATCATTTATAATAGTCCTAACCTGGAAACAACCCCAAAGTCCATCCACAATAGATGGATACATAAATTGTGACATGACTGGTCATTGGAGTACTATGCACTCATGAAAATGAATAAACTCTGGTTGTATTCAACAGGATGGATGAACCTTAGAAACATGTTGAGTGAAGAAAAGGCAGACACAAAAGGATACCTTCTGTATGCTTCCCTGTAAGTCAGGTTAAAAAAAAACAGGCAAAACAAAGCCAGTATTCACAAGTGGTTGCTTAGATAGTAAGACTATAAAGAAAAAAGGAAGCCATTACTGTGAAAGTACATTAAATCATTCTTGAGTTCAGGACAGGTTAATGACGGGGGTAGGGTGAGGTGGGGGGTGGAGCATTTGGACCCAGTCTGCAGGCTATTAGCCTGGCAGGAGTTTGTGATAATTCACTGTACCTTTGTGTGTGTGTGTGTGTGTGTGTGTGTGTGTGTGTGTGTGTGTATGTGTATATATATTTTAGTGCTGGGGATTGAACCCAGGGCCTTCCTTGAGCATGGGAGGCAAGCACTCTACCAACTGAGCTACATCCCCAGTCCTTGTGCATATTATAATATTTATATTATACTTTCAAAAGTTAAGAACAGAAGAAGTGCCTGGCATACTCCTGTAATTCCAGTGACTTGGGAGGCTGAGGCAGGAGGATTACAGTACACATTCGAGGCCAGCCTCAGCAACTTAGCGAGGCCCTAGGCAGTGTAGCGAGACCTTGTCTCAGAATTAAAAAATAATACTACTAAGGGTTGGGGATGTGGCTCAGTGGTGAAGTGCCCCTGGGTCCAGTGCCTTATACAAAAAAAAAAAAAAAGAGAGAGAGAAAGCGAGCGATAGATCACCGAGAGAGCTCCTCCCAGGGCGTCGGAGCCAGTGTCTAGGAACCTGCCTCTTATCTTCCCAAACCTCCTTTGAGGGCTCTTTCAGATACAGCCTCCTGTTGGCCGCGCGCCCGCCCTGGACGAGGAGCTTTGGTTTCTGTGCTCGGTGCTGCTGTGACTTGTAGCCGAGCCGAGACCTGTCATTAGCCCCCCTCAGCGTGTGGCCTTGGCTGCCCTCCTTCCTCCCTCCGTAGTGTGACGCCCCAGCACCTAGCGGAAGTGCCCTGCGGCCAGGACTGGGACATCTGTTCTGTCCAGGTGGAAAGTGCCCCGGGGAGGGCGAGGTCCCAAAGGTCCAGCTCCCGAGGCAAATGTTGGCGCCAGAAGGGCTGCAGGGAGCAGCCGGGAGCTGGGGTGTCGTCAGGAACAGGGGTTCTTTGGGGTCTCTGGATGGTGGTGTCCCTGGCCCCCCCACACTACAGGATTGTGGTTGACGTGGAGGCGGCTGTGTGTGACCTGCTGTGTGTGACCTGCTGTGTGTGAGCTGCTGTGCACCTCCCCCGCCTGCCGTCCTGGGAGCAGGGCCTTCTGTGTGGCTTTCCCTGGGCACGTCCCAGTGGGCGCCATGCTTTTCCTACTTCAGAACTAGGCACCCGGCTTGAGCTCCCTGAGCAGAGTGACAGGTGGCTCAGGGACTCCACCTCTGTGCTTTTGGCTCCTGTTGGGGGCTGGGGTGCAGCTCAGCAGGAGAGCGTGCGTGGTGTGTGCGGGGACCTGGCTGCCACCCTCAGCAGCCCCCACACATGTGCATGTGTCTTTGTCACCTTGGTACCACAGTGGGTCTTGAAGCTCACTATCCGGCCCCAAGCAACACTTGATAAGGGTCGTGGGACAAAGATAAAGTACTTTGCATAAAGCCCTCAGTGAGCACCAGCCACTTTGGGTACCAGGTCTGTGATCCCAACGAGCTAACCCTGATCTGAAAGTGCATGGCGGGTGCAGCCCCAGAAGCCCCTGCCTGAGCCCCGCTCTCCGCCAGGCTGGGGTGTCCTCAGGGGCTTCCCGACCCCTGCTGGGGAGGGACTTGGTGATTCCAGGACGAGCCTGCTGGGCAGTCTAGACCCATCACAGTTCCTGAGGACAGTGCCCAGTTCCTGAGGACAGTGCCCTGTCCCCTGAGCCTCTTGCCGCTGTACACCTGCTCCTCCCCCTCAGGCTCCGTTCTGGGGAGTCAGCTGATCCTTGGAGCTGACCTCCTCCCAGGCATCTTTTAACACCCACTTGCTCTCCCCTGAGGTGGGCTGGCTACTGAGTCCTGCTGTCTCGTCCTCCACACTCTTCCCAGGGCCTGCTGTGCCCCTGAGCTTGCCCAGCTCAGCTGTCCCCTCCCTCTATGGCTTCCCAGGTGATGCCTCTTCATCCACCTGCCAGCTCTTCTTCGCCCTGTAAGTCCTTCCTTAGGTCTACCTTCCCTTGGGAACCCCCCCCCCCCATGCCTACAGGCAGATTGACCTGATTACAGAATGAGTGTCCTACCTGTACTTGGGGCCAGAGTGTTTTGGGTGGTGGAATGTTTGCGTGTCCATAGGGACCTCTGGTACCACCCGAATCTGAACAGGAGATTCACTTCCGATTCCTATGCGCTCCACACACAGCCCCTAGGTAATTTTGTGGAATGTTTTACTGTCCCTGTATTCTATCTGTGGTGTCACATGGGTCAGGATAGAATCTCCCACTGTGGGGTCACTTCATGCTCAGCAAGTTTCAGATCCTGGAGCACTTTGGCTTTTGTAGCATTTCAGAGGAGGGCTGCCCAAGCTACTGTGACAGTGGCTTTGTGGTCTGTGTTTGTCCAGGTCTCTGTCCCACACAGGACTGTGGCCTTTGCAAACGTTTATTGAGTGAGCTCATCTTGCCCGGTAGGGGCCTGATTGCATCAGATCGTTGCTATAACAAAATGCGAGAGGCCCAGTGTCCACTCTAAGGCAGGTGCCTGGCCTTTAGGTGGGCACATTTGGCCTCCTCCATGTCCAGCTGGCACAGAATTCTCAGTGGCACTGTAGGGTGAAGGCAAGCGCCTGTCATGTGGAGAACTCAGCAGGAGGGGTCTTTTGAGGCCCCTTTTGTATGTGGGCTCGCTGCCCTCGGAACCAGTGGCCCTGGGCACTGCCCCTGGGTGTGTGCCACAGGGGGCTGGCAGGGGTCCCTCTGTGGCCTAGAAGTGTGGAATGGGGTGTTAAGTAGAATAGCATTCCACTTCTAGCATATCCACACCCCAGTACTGTGACCTGTGAGTGTTATGTCATGTGGCAGAAGGGACACTGGATGGAGTCAAGGAGAGAACCTTGGCTCACCCAGGTGGGCCCAGGCTCAATACAAGGGTCTTTGAAGGCAGCGCACTTGAGCACGACAGAAACTCTAAGCACGACAGAAACTCTAAGCACACGGGCTCTTTCAGATGGCAGAATATTTGCATGTACATGTGAGATTCTTTTGGAGTTGGGACCCAAGTCTAAACACGAATTTCATATGTTTCACATGCACCTTACTCGGATAGCCTGGAAATGATTCACCGCCATCGCTGCCTCTGAGATGCAGGACCCAGATGCAAGGACCAGAGAGTGGTGGGGGTGGCCGATGGCCGGGAGGCAGCCAGCAGACAGGGACCTCAGGCCGAGGGCTGCAGGGAACGATGCCCCTACGGCCGACTTGGGACGTGGGTTATTCCCGGGCGTCTCGTGAGGAAGACGGCTTTGCTGCCCCTTGACCTTTGCCCACTGAGACCCTGGTGGCCTGCACCCCAGGACCGTGGGACCGATGGCATTGTTTCCGGCTGCAGAGCTGGTTTCACACTGTTGTAACAGTGGCAGAAAAGGAATCCAGGGTGACAGGTGCCCCCGCGCTCCAGGTGAGAGGCTAAAGGATGCCATGCCTGGCCGCGCCCACGGGCCTCCCTCAGCCTGGAAGGGATCCTGCTATTTCATCTGTGCGCGGTGGCCGCAGATCAGGACTGGCTTTCCGTCCCTGGCACTGGTTCACAGACGTTTTAGCCTGGAAGGGCAGCTCAGCAGCCTGTTCAAGACATTTTTCCTCTTGGGCCAGGGAATTCTTTGGTGTAATTCCAAGTTTGAGGATCACAGATATAATCTACTTAACCTTAAAAAAAAATCTTTTTTTTGATCAAGTGCTGTGCTGTTGAAAAAGGCAGATGGGAAAACTCTAATGATGACAGCCATTTGGGGGGAGGAATGGGCTGGAAGGCAGGAAGCAGAGGTGGGGTGTGTGAGGGCTGTCCTCAGGCCTGGCCTCCTGGGTGGGGGTCTGGGGCTTCCCAGTATTCCTGGGATTAGCTGCAGGGCTGCAGGGTGCTCCCAGAGCACTGGATTAAGATTTAGGAAGCCTTGCTCCTCCATGCTGTATGTGGGTCAGCTTTCTGTTATTGTAACAAACACTGGAGATAGGAGCAATGTAAGAAGAGAAAAAGTTGATTTGGGCTCACAGAGGTTTCAGCCTCTGGTTGGTTGTCCCTGTTGCTTTGGGCCTGTGACTGTACAGTACATCATGGCGGGAGCACCTGGGAAGCAAAGCCACTCACCTGGTGGCCAGGAAGTGAAAAAGAGAAAGAGGAAGAGACTGGGGTCCCATAATCCCCCTTTGAGGGCTTATTCCCAGCGACATAAAGACCTCATCCTAGACCCCACCTCTTATAGTTTCCATCACCTTCCAGAAGCACCAATCTGAGGACAGGCCTTTAACACGTGGGCATCTGGGGAACCGCGCACATCCTAAGCCAGCTCTGCGCTCTCTGTCCCCCGTGGCCCTACCCTGTGTAGGTCTTCTGCCTGGGACCCGAGGCGTTGGATGAGATTGCCCCTAAGGCTCAGGGAGTTCTCGTGCTGGAGTAGCCGTCTGTAGGAACATGGGCAGCACTAAGGGACCCTGCCCGTGTCCACTGCCTTTCCACAACTCCTGGCCCTTGTCACTCAGCTCTGCTCTCCTGGTTCCCAGCTCTGGACACTAGGTTCTGTTGGCTGAACCTCCTCCGTGAGCCCCTTCCTGCTTCCTGCCGGGTCACCTTGGCCACACAAACCTCAGTGGGCATTTTCTTTTCCCTTCCCTGGTTCCATCCCCAGGGCCTTGTGTGTGCCAGGCCAGCGCTGCACCCTGAGCTGTGTCCCTAGCCCCCTCCTTACATTTTAAAACCAAACCTGAGGGTGAGCTACGGCCAGCGCATGGACAGTGGTTTGCTAGAGCCCCCCATTGCCTTCCACCAGCTCAGATTCATCGGCTCGCCTCCCCGAGCCCGGTGTTATCTGAGGTGTGGTCTCATTTCCTAAAGGAAATCGTGTGTCAGAAAAGGAAAACAACCCGCCCAGAGGTTGCACCTCACCTCAGAGCCTGGTCGGAAAGTCCCAGACTTGGATCGAGGCCCTGAGGGTGGCGCCTGAGCCTGGCTTTGGATCCAGATGGTGCCCCTGCTGCGGGTCCCAGGCGGACTGGCTGATGGATGGGATGGGCATGAGTGAGTTCAGCTCGGTTTAGGAGAGCTCCCCTGACTGCAGCACAGGGACCAGAATGTCCGTCTCCTGGGTGTTGACAGGATTAAATAGCACGGAGCAGGCAGAGCGCTGGGCTGGGTGCCTCCTCCAGGATGCTCAGAACTACCAGCCTATTGCTGCTCTTCCTCCAGTGCTCCTGGCTCCTACGTTTGGGGGTTAGAGTAGTCTTTGGCATGCAGTAGGTACACAGATGTGGGCTGTGTGCACACATGGGTCTGGATTCCTGGTTTACTTGCTCCCTGGTTAGGCCTGAGTTAAAGGTCACGGAGACAGGTGTGCACTGGACGCCCCGAGTGTGCAGGTGCGCTGTGTCAGCTGGTGGCACCAGGACCCCGGGGGATTACCCGAGCTCCCAGGGCCCACGAGTGACCTCCTCATCCAGGGCCTTGGGAGACTGCATGCTGGGGGGGATCTGTGTGTTTCTGGATCAGTGGCCTCAGGAAGGGCCTCGTGGCTCAGAGGTGACGACTGGAAGGATGCAGAGTGCAGAGGAGTCACCGAGTCTGCTACGGGGGAGGCAGAAGCAAGGTGCAGGGGACGAGGACGTCGGCTCCAAGTCAGAAGTCTGGGGGTTGAGCCCCAGCTGTGTCTGTTCCTAATTGCAAGGTCTTGATTTTTTGTTTTATGTTTTATTTTCATGAACGTCAAACATGTATATAATCATACTCAGATAATCCTACAGGCTTGTTTTTTGAACCTAGAGGCACTTAACCACTGAGCCTCATCCCGGCCCTTTTTTCTATTTTATTTAGAGACAGGGTCTCACTGAGTTGCTTAGGGCTTCACTGAGTTGCTGAGACTGGCTTTGAACTCACGATCCTCCTGCCTCAGCCTCCAGAGCTGCTGGATTACAGGTGTGTGCCACTGTGCCCAGCTCAATCCAGAGATGATTTAACAGTGACATGATGGAGCGTCTGAGCTGTCTAGGGTGTCCTGTGACCTGGAGGACTTGGCCCTCTCTGACCCTTTCAGACTGCTTTTGGGAGCTTAGATAGAGACAGAACTGATCTGAGGGCATTAATCATGTTTCTGTGGGAAGAGAAAAAAAATTCCTCTAAATCCCTAGAGAGACAATAACTATACCATAGGGTTGAGGGTGAGGACAAGGTCATCCCTTTGTGCCCTGTCCCAGGAGCAGCCCAGAGCCTGAGAGTTTTGAAAATTAATTTCCATTTATTCTGAGTGCCATTTGAAGATATTTAGAATGGCTTTTGTTGTGGGAAAAATTGAAAATTAAAACCTAGTAATAAGAGTCTTAAAGGCCTGGAGGAGATTCCTGGCCATTGTTCTGCCTGGGCCTCAGGGTTGGGTCAGGACTGATCAGTGACTGCCTAGGGGTCCCTCTAGCTTCAGTGTCTTCATGTACAAACAGTATGGTGCACATTCCATCCTCCGAAATGCTGAAATACCCAAAGCCCTGAAAACCAAAAGTTCATTAGGAGCCAGACCTGTGGCTGTCTGGACCCTGCTTGGTCTTGATGGTGTCCCAATCTTAGTGTGCACGCACCACACTGCAAGGATATTACTCTCCTCCATTCAAGGGCCTTGCCCAGACCTCCAGGGTCTCACTTCTCAACACAGCCTGGTCCCCAGAATTTGAGATGGTGGTTTCTACTCCGTTGTATTTTGGAAGGAGTTGAATGAGGCCCCTTATGTATATAAGAGGAAACACTGCTGCAGGCACATAGTAGGTGCTTGATTAGCACTGGCCATTGTCCTGACTGCTCTTTGGGCTGGGGATGATCAGAGAGATGGACCCTCTGAGTCCAGCCATCCCTGTTCAATCAAGGCCACGAGGACTGAACTAGGAAGAGTGGAGGTGGGAGCTGAGCACGCAGGAGAAAGCCCCAAGGACAGAACTGAGTTCAAGTTCTGACCATGCCACTGCCACAGCCTTGGGCACAGCCTTAACCTGTTTGCCTTGGTTTTCCCATTGTATAATGGAGATAATACGTCTCAAAGGGTCATCCCCTCCATCCACCGAGACCCAAGATGGTGCTGTGTTAAAATGAATGGCCCCAGGTGTGATGGCCTCAGCCAAGTTCATGGCCTCTGTGGTTTTCTTGCCATAAGTGCAAAACCTCAGCTGTGTCATGAGAAAAAGT